CTATAGGGTTGCTGATTCAGAACAGACATACACAGTGTCACTAAGCCCTACAGCCGTTCTATAGGGTTGCTCTGATTCAGAACAGACATACACAGAGTCACTAAGCCCTACAGCCGTTCTATAGGGTTGCTCTGATTCAGAACAGACATACACAGTGTCACTAAGCCCTACAGCCCTCTGCCACCCAGTCCGTTCAGACTCACAGCAGGACTACCTAGGGTTTCCAAGACTGAAAACCTTCATGGGAGCAGGCAGCCTCTTCTTCCTCCCTCAGAGTGACTAGTGGGGCTCCAAATGCTGACCTCATGGTTAGCAGCCCAATGCCAAACCCACAGCACCGCTAGGACTCCATAAAATTTCTAAGGGAAAGCTCATGTGCTCCATTCCAGAAACCCCTTTATGTTAGTTAGAACAAGTACCTGACACGGCACCGACTTTGCACTGTTCTCCGCCTCCTCTCTCACGGGATGATCAGACAGCTTCCGCAGGTATTCATTTACTGCCTGGGTGTCAGGGTATGATGGTATATTCCGGGTAGAAGAAATTTCAGCTGTCCCCATCATGTCCAGTTGGGAGGAGCTGGCATCATCACTGGTGGTCTGAACACTTGTGGCACTCAGCTCGGCAGCAACAGGCAGCTCCTTTTCTCCCCTGGTGCTCTCAAACACATCTGCCTGGTTCCCCAGGGCGTCAAGACTGGAGGGGGTGATGGCCGCGCTGGCGTGGTTTTCTGCCTGGGACTCGCACAGTGTCACACCTAGCGGACAGCAGTGGCTGTCTGATATAATCACGTGGTCTTCTTTGTCAGTCATAGTCATTAGGAGCTGGCTGCACTGGTTGCATCTTTCTGGGACTGGCTTCAGATCCTGGGAAGGGAGGCACTGTACAAGCGCTAAGCTGTGGGATGCACCACAGGCCACTTGTAGCACCACGCGCCCAGCGAGATGTTCTACTTTTTGTGGCTTTGTTACTGGGAAAGCAGAGGTGATGAGCCCCAGCTGACAGCCAGTACCCCAGGCCCAAATCTCTCTGCTGATGGACAATGCCAGAGTGTGTTCCTCACCACATGCCAACTGCAAGATCCTGACTGCCAGCAAAGGGCTGCTTTCCGAGTCAGAAATGCTGACGGGCTGTGGCTCGGCCACATACTGCTGGTTGGCCACTGCGCACTGGCCAGCCGAATTCTCCCCCCACATGTACACTGTGCCACTTTCCGTCACCGCGCCACTGTGGTAACTCCCTGTCGCCACCGTAACAACATAGTGTCCAGCCAGGGCATGTTCTAGCAGGGGGTTGCTTGGACAAATCTCTGCTGCTTCATGTCTCCAGGGAAGAGTCCCAAAGCTGTAGACTTGACCATCTGAAGGTTAAAAAGAAAGGAGACACATTTTAGAAGAGAGAGCTTAGTGAATTAACAAAAATTTTATCTACAAAACTACAGTCCTCGCTAGATTTAACACAGTGGATCCCTCCCTGGCCCCGCCCCCCATTTTAAAGAGCACCAGGTGAGATTCGGTCTAAGCATGTAATATCTGACACTGAGCTCTTACCGAGAAGCACTCTGAACTACGGGAGGACCTCTGCAAAGGGGCAGGCGGTTACATCCAGTGAAGAGTAGGGTTGCTTTCCTTCAGCCTCAGCTCCCCTGCCAGCACTAGCCCACCACGAACGACTCAGTTTACCTTCCTGTTGTTGAGAAGACTCCCAGCACAGCACACGCCAAGTTAACAGTGTCTGCAGGTACAACTCAGGACACTGACCACCGTCTGGAGTCCTGCAACCCTCCTCTTATCCGGAGCTCTTCCTCACAAGCTAAGCCCTAAGGTACGGTTCCTGACTATTCATGCTGTTTCTACCCCGGATGTCTTGTCATTTATTGTTAACAGAGCACAATGCTCAAGGCACACCTTTGTTAACAGTTAAACTACACTATCCTTCAGTTGTAAGAAGACTTGAATGAGTGATCAGCATAGCCTACTACTGAGAAGCAAATTGTAAGCGCTCAAAGACAAATTAAGTAATCATGCTGAGATAAAATAAGCAGAAGATAAAACAGCAGAGTCTAATATCTACTGACCAAGTCAGAGTGGCGGGGAACTACACAATGGCACACTCACTCATCCCACACAACGTCTCCAGGTTGTACAGAAAGCTCCAGTTAGTCAGCTGTGGCTATCTTCAGGTTTTGTAGCATGGACTCACATTGCATTGTTAAATGTGACCGTAATCAACCTTCTGTACAGGGATAGCCTTGCTGAGCTGAGGCTTGTTGAAAAGCAAATCATCACGATAAACTAAATCAAGCAGGAAACCAACAGAGCTGCCAGGGTGATAAGGCCGCGTTAGAATGAGAAGGGCAGGCTTCCGTGAGCTGGGTACACTGGCAAACTGCTTACAGAAGCAAAGCCAGCGACTGAAGGAGCAGTCTGCTTGCCACCAGGTGTACTGCAGGGTGTCACTCCACCGCGGCATGTGGGAGCGCTGCCGCAGGCACACACTCTCTCTGCTGGCAAAGACTCAAAGGAACAGAGAGCCGTCCACGGATTTTGAAAAGGATTGGTCCAAGCCCACGACCGTTTTCCCGTATAGAAGAAATATGCTCAGAGACTTAACCTTTTCTCGGGGGCAGGATGAATAAAGAACCGGGCTCCCCCAGGCAGCCACTGAATTGATTATAAAAATAACAGAAGCCATATTTTTGGCCTTATTTATTATATAAGACAGATGTATCACTATAACAACACTGACTCAGCACAATATCTACATAAGGAGAACACGCCGTTGGCCAGAAAGAAGGTATCTGCTTAGGAGGGAGTTTCTAGCTTGCATAAAGAGCACTGAGAAAATAAAGGGACTCTTTTTTTCTATTGCTTCCAAGTGACATAACGATATATTTTTAATAGTTGGCTAACTCTTTTTTTATTAGTCCACTAAAGATAGCAACGCTGCAAGCAGACAGACAATAGGCAACACTCTATATACATTGCAGCACGTTTCTATCTGTTACTGATTTACAGATCTTACAATATTCTTGTGAGCTGCTATGTATGCCTCACAAACTCTGTACTGAGACAAGATATCACCGTGGCTATAAACACCACTCAACCTGGACGTCGGCCTGATTGACAGGATGACGCTCCCTCATCTGAGGAACACGGCTGAGAATGAGCGCTACCTCACCAGGTGGCCGTGAAAGCCTTATGCCATGCCAGGGACACATGATTCCTTAATAACATCAGTATTATTATCATCATTATTCTGATATACAGTATCTAGTGGACAAAAATAGCAAGAGTCTATGCATGAATAATATTAGAGTTAACTTTTCATACACTTATTACTATAAAAAATGTATCTCTTCTCTCTCTTTTAGGCTAGTCTTGGCACATCTTAAATTAAAGAAGGAATCTAATTTCTGATAACAAGAGTAAGAACATATTTTGAAGGCAAAAGGAATAGAAGTTCCGGCAAGGTTCATAAAGAACTTCTGGCATCCAGCAGGCATGTGACCTGCTTTTATACACTCGGCGTTTCTCAGAATTTCCATTCCAAACTCATTGCCATCAAGTCAATTCTGACTCAGAGCAACCCTAGAACAACAAAGAATGGACTGCCCCTGGATTTCCAAAGCTGTATCTCGTTACGAAAGTAGAAAGCCCCATCTTTCTCCTGTGGAGCAGCTGGTGGTTTCAAACTGCCGACCTTGAAGTTAGCAGCCCAACTCCTAACCACTTCGCCACCAAGACATTCTTTGTAATACCTTCAGTCAAAAGAACTCCATGTTTTATTCCCAGGGCTGCTTGAAGAACTGTTTTTCCTCCACAGCCTAGCAACCTCTCCGGTGTTACAGAAAAGGATCCTGCCGGCCATATGTGGACCAGGCCTCTCTCTTTGGATCCTTCTGCCTCTGTTGAGCTACAAAAAAAAAAAAAAATCAAGAAAAATAGCTTAGTTGTTTCTGTCATTCAGAACCACATATTCTGCTCTTAATACTTTCTCTTTTTAAAAATTTATTATTTAAATTTATTCACCAAACACTAAAGCCAGTGATGAGGAAACCGAAGGTTTCTATAAGCTTCCTCATGGAGCTCGGATAGCATAAAGAATTACATTTTTTAAAAAAAATCATTTTATTGGGGGCTCGCACAATTCTTATCACAATCCAGCCATCCATCCATTGTGTCAGCTCTTAATACTTTCATAAGAATGTATCTTTAACGAGCACATAGGTGACTGGTTACACAGTTTAATTAGCACCTATATTATGCTGTACTTGCAGAATAGGAGTGAGATAATATAGCCATTGAAGATTAAGTACCATAAAATTCCTAGATTCTAATTTCTTAATATGTTAGCCCCTTGTTTGGAAATTAAAGCTGGAACATGCTTCAAGTTGAAGTCTCATTTAAGAATTTTCATTTGTAATTGGTAGGAAGCATTTGATAAGAAAGAGAGAACTAAAGATCCATATTTTATTTTACACTGAGTTATGCTCCAGAATTGTGTATTAGAGTCTAGTTTCTAGTACTAGGTTTCCAGAATGCTATGGTTTCCACAGAGACCCACATTTATTGAGTCTCTACATAGATTCAGCCTCCACTGAGTTCTGACCACAAGTTCAGACCAACAAGGTGAGAAAAAAACAACTTTGCCCTCAGACAGAGTGTGCTGGTTTTAACTCCTCAGGCCAACCTAGGGAGGGGCAATCTCACCCTCAAGAACTCATCTGGTGTTGCCCTTGATGGAAATTGGGGCACTAGCTAGGGTGCACTTGTTATGAGTCGTGCCCTAACCAAGGCAGTCAGTAGACCTCAGTAGAACAATCCTGAAAATGTTTCTCATCTGTAATCGTATGTGTATCCCTATCAGAGTCCCTTTCCTACTTTTGTAGCCCGTCTGCAACTGCGCTGAAGTGAACTGTTGCCCATCGTGAGTGTTCTGACCGGTTCCTTTGTTCTACACATGCTCCTTCATTAAGAGACTGTGTGGCTGTGATTCCTCCGACATCATGAGAGCTTCGTGCTGAAGCACTCCCTCAGCCACATGACTGTTTCAGACTTAAAACACGTGTCTCTAAAAATTGCATTTATGTTCCCAATACAAAGCCTTCATGTTGCAAACACAAAAATCCAAACTCACTGCCATTGAGTCGATTGCAACTCAGAGGCCCAGGAAATGTGCCCTTGTCATATCTCTGATGTAGACTGTAGCAGGTTACCAATTGGGATGTTAAGCTCAAAGTCAGCAGTTCAAAATCACTAGCTTTCTACTCAGAAAGTGAAGGCTTTCTACTCCCATAAGAAATTTACAGGCTCAGAAACCCACAGGGGCAGTTCTACACCGCCCGATAGGGTTACTTAACTGGCTCAATCATAGTGAGGTTTTTGTTGTTGTTGTTTTAGATGACTTTTAGCTTAAATTTATATTAAATAACACAAAATACATAGGTAGTTAAAGGGTACATTAAAATAAGTTAATGTCTCTTTACTACAAAGTCTCCACTGATGTACTTTACTTTATCACTTTCTCCCCCACCCAACTCTGATGCCAGTATTATAATGAGCACTAAAACCTTTTGTGTGTACACATATGTGCGTGCATATCTATGTTTTGGTTTTATTTTATAATACCAAAGAAGTTCACTAATTTAGCCAAATAATATTCCCTTAGAATATAACCAAGCAGTCATGATTTTATGGGAAGTAAGCCATGAATTTAATCCTCATTTGAAAAACCCTCCATCAAGGGTTTTCTAAGAATGATGATATGAAAAAGCTCACCATATCAAGTCAATTGTGACTCATCTTGACCCTATAAAGCCGAGTAGAACTGTCCCTGTGGGTTTCCGAGGCTAATCTTTACAGCTGTCAATCTTTCTCTCCCAAAGCAGGTAGTAGGTCCCAACCGCTGACTTTGTGGTCTGCGGCCCAATGCATAACGCAGTGACATGATGAAAACATGTTGTGCCTCTTGGGGTCACTCTGAGTCGGAATCCACTCACGGCATGGTGGTGAGTTTGAGTTTGCTTTCACAAACTAAGGAGCTGACCATCTGACACAGTGGCTAAACAGAAAGCTGGAAACTCAGAACCACCTGTGGCTCCAGCTGAGAAAGATATGGCAGTCTCTAACAGACCAGGCCTTGGAAAAGCCTTTGGGGGGACCCTACACTGTCCTAGAGGGGTCACTGTGAGTCAGAGTTGGTGGATGGCAATGGGTTTGGTTTGACTACAAAGCATAAGAAACTAGCAACAGAGCTTGTCACTAGCCAGCTTTCCTTTAAACCTCTCTTTACCATCAACTACAAATGACCTTCCCCACCAACAACCTCTGACAAGAACATTAAACTGACAGGGCTACACAGATGTGGATTTTCCCTAGAAGGGCAGGGGATCAGGGAGAAAGAGTTTTACCTTCTCGTCTTTGCGTCCATCAGTCAGTGGGAGAACGCCATCACCAAACCATTCTCTTTGCAGAAGTTACACCAAGACCTACACGACAGACCACAAGGCAAGCACAAAGAACAGTGAAAGAAAAAAGAATACTTTGCTATTTGATCCCTCGGCTAAGGGAAAAACCAAAACACTCCTCTAACAAATGCACATTCATTCACTAAGCAATAAATATGCAGTGAAACTATTTAAACTATTTCCTATCCCTCCTGCCAAAGTCAAATATCTAGACTGAGCCTGCCCACTGAGCTAATCAAAGGGCTGGTTGAGGGTATAATGTTACAAGGAAGAAAAGACTACCACCTAAAATTAAATGCGGCTTTGCCAGGCAAGAGATTTTTGTTTGTTGTTATCAAGGAGGGAGTTTATTCTGAAAACTCACTGCTATGTATACATTACATGCATATTGGGGGTGACTTTTTAAATGCTCCAGGAACAAACTAAGGCTGAACTGCTAATTCAGAAGTTCTGGAATGGCTCACATTCAAGTAGTTTTAATGTACATGTTTCAGCCATGTACATAAAACTACATTATTAAACCAGAATAGTCATATTTTCCCCAAGTCAATCTCAATTTGAGGCCAACCTCCCTCATTATCCAAAAGGCTGTAAGAAAAAAAGGCTTGCATTTTAATATCACTTTTAAAGTTCACCATTGACTAGAAAAGTGCTGTCTGAGCATTATGGAGGGAATATCATGACCTGTCCATCTGGAAACTGAATGTTGAATAAATTAAAGGTTGGGAAAATAATCAAAAGGCAGACAGAAATGGTCAATGCATTTCAACACAGACTTCCCCCTTTTTTTTTCCAGACTTCCCAAGTTTTAAGACACACCAGGACTCGTGAATAGAAAAGCAATAAAGCTATCTTGTTTGTGTCAACCAGATTTGTACAGGGCCAAAAATAAGCAACTCAGGGCCACCGAGGCGATCCTGGCTCACCGTGGCCCTCTGGGATCCGGGGCAGAACTGCCCCGTGCTTTATGTGGCCCATGACACCACCAGGGCTCCTTCTCCGCACACTGGGAACTGGGGCTGGGGCCAAATTTGTGCTTTCTCTGCAAAAGGCTATAGAGTGAACACTGTGCTCTGGGAAGCTCGCATGCCAGCAGCACTCTAAGACCCATCTGTCTCTTCCGGGTTGTGAGAATTCTTGCCGTTTTCCCATCTGCATAGCTGCAGAATTTTACTTGCTACCTAAGTGCTTTTTATAAAAAGATTCTGAATCATTCAAAGTTGGATAAGGGAGTACAATGTAGGCGAAAGATACCGTCAGAATGCACTTAATAAACACTGCTGCTAAGGGCTAATATGCTTTATATGAGACAGAAATTACTCCTGGTAATATTTACAGTTGGTTGGATACAGAGCAACTCTGAATCCAGCTCTAAGTGTACCCTTGTGTGTCAGGGGTCAGCATGCCAGATCCCGGATAAGGTTACACAAGCCCCAGTGACGGCCTCCGGAAGGGGGTGGAAGTGCACAAGGATACCTCCCTGCAACAGTGGAGGCATATGTACATAGAATTTTGCCCTACTGCCTGGAAGTAAGGGATGAAAACAAGAATCTTTCAGTAAAGACAATAAAGCAGTCAGTCCTTGTTTTCTTTCAGTGTTAGATTTTTTTTAAATCATATTTTTGGAGGCTCTTACAACATTCCATACATCAACTGATTGTGTCAAGCATATTTGTACATAAGTTGTCATCATCATTTCCAAAATATTTTCTACTTGAGCCCTTGGCATAAGCTCTTTCCCCCACCCTCTTGAATCCTTGATCAATTATATATTGTTATTATTATTTCATAACGTACACTGGCCATTGTCTCCCTTCACCCAGATTTCTGTTATTCATCCCCTTGGGGTGGGGGAGGAGGCTATATATCCAACCTTGTGATGAGTTCCGTCTTTCTCCCCTAGTGTTAGATTTTTGAAGGTTGAGGGGTGTTTCATATATGTAGATATAGAGGCAGTTAGTTTATTGTGCCAACCTGGCCAATAAACACGCAGGGTTAATTCAAGGGCAGAGGAATAAATGGCTCAGTGAGCCTCGCCTTTCTAGTTCTCGGGTCTCTTGCTTTCTGATGGTCAGGCCAGGGTGCAGCTGCCTTAGCCAGTTCCCTGCTTTACCTGGCAAGGCTCGCTTCCTGTAAGACATCCCTGAAGAGAAGCCACATGGACCTAGCCTGATGCAGCCCTGGGTGCTGGAGCACCCGTGTGGAGACCCCTGCCAGTGCTGAGATGCTTACACATTCACATTCATTACGTCTGTTTTGTGAGATGGAGAAGGACTTTGTGAATTGGTGTTGGACATATGCGTTTATGGGTTACTGTTGGACTTGTGGGCTTGGGCAGCACTGGGTTGGGATGTTTTCTTGATGCACACTTAACCTTTATCTAAAACTCTCTCTTGTACGTGAGTTTCTGTGGATTTGTTTCTCTTAAGTACCTAGACTCACACACACACACACACACACACACACACACACACACACA